AAGAGTTGGGTACAAATGTGAAACCCTAATGGGTTGTACCCCATGTTGGCTACCCCACTACAGCCTACACATATATGACATAGATATAATTTGACACACCCCCATAAGCAAAGTGGGGGAGAGCAAGGGGTCACCAGGGCCCAAAATAGGTTTAGGCTCACTCTTTCAAATCAGGGTGGCAGGCCCTCCGTACCCTGACTGTTAGGGTGATTTTCGTGGTTCACTGTTTACAGCAGTGTAAAAATTTGGGTACACTGATTTCAGCAGGGTATGTTTTCCGGTACACTGATGCATTAGCAAATACTTAGAAAGGTGAGAACAGTCGAACGACGAACGTGAGAAAGGTGAGAGAATGGCGAGAGGCTGAGAGACCCCTTGGGAATCACAAAGCCCAAGAAGGCCCAAGCAGCACGGTTCCCGCGCACCGCGGGAAGTACATGGCAGAGGCTTCAACACCACAATCACTGCCATGTGGTGCAAACGACAGCAAGAAACCCACCTGTCGCGCATTTTGGCACCGTTGGCAGTGAGCGATGCTTCGGGAACGCCCTACGTTGCTTGGATGTTGCTCAACGGACCAATCGTAGGCGTGCGCGTGCAGCCGCGCTGCTTCTACGTTGGCGCGCTAGTGGGCATACCGTACAAATGCTCCAGTGGGTCCGTGGTGAATTTTGTCTTGGCGCGTACTGTGGCAGAATACTCAGTTAGAAAAAGATCCGGTAAAAGTGTAGTTGAGCACGTACCCTGATACAGCCAGTGTAAGTAAACTTGTTACAAGAGTGCTTTTCTCGGTATCCTGATTTCACTAGGGTAAAAAATTGCATAGCCTGATTTCACACGGGTAACTGCCAAAAAGCGGCCTACCATCAGGGCAAAAAGGGTATTTTACCCTTGAAATTTGGGGCCTGGGGGTCACCAGACCAGTCAAGAGAAGCAAAGCAAGCTCAGGGTGGATCACAACCAGGGGTTTTTTTATCAGAGTAAATTACACTATTTCTCTGAAAATCAGAGTGGTTTTTAGGGGGTCACTCTGACGTGACTGGGTAATTTTTTTGAAAGATAAGTTTTCTCTGATTTGTCAGGGTTCTGATTTTAGCTACTTTGAGGGACCAGTGTATATTTTGTGAAGAAATGAGGAATGAAGAAGAGAGGGTTGCACTAGCAGCAGTTGGCATACATATAGGAAACCCTAATTGGGTTGTACTCGCTATAGAGTACCCCACTGCAGGCTAGACAATTATAACATTCTGACACACCCCCATAGCCAAAGTGGGGTGTAATCAGCACAATGAGCAAGCAGGCATAGAGCAGGAGTTCACAATAGCGAGCAAAGCTAGAGTTAATCACAGCGGGCAAGTGAGGAGGAGGAGGAACTGTGGAGGGAGAGAAGATGGGAGGCAACGACTGAAGCTGCAGAGGCATGGGCACAGGAGCGGCTGACTCAGTGGCTACCGAAGCAAGGGCGACGGACTACTGGAGTAACTGGCTCCGCGGCTATAGACGAGCGGCAGGAGCAACGGACCCACTGGCGACTGGTGCAACAGGCTCACTGGCTACCGAAGCAAGGGCGACGGACTACAGGCGCTGCAGGCGACACGACAGCTACCTTCACACAACCTCCTCCAGCTGCCCCACAACCTCGACACACACCCCCTGCTCAAACCCTAGTTCCACTCCCACAGCACCCCCCTTTCACACACCCCTTGCTGCACCCTAGGTTCACTCACACCCCACCCCCTAGCACCACTCCGTCAACTCCCACACACCCACCCCCCTCAGCGGCAGCTGCAGCAGTGGGAGACAGAGGAGGAGGAGGAGCAGGGGAGACCACACACCCGCCACCCCCTACTCGCCACCCCCAGACCCTAACACAGGGCAGGGCGGGACGGCGGGTAGGGAGGTTACAGGGGGGGGGGGGGGGGGGGGGGGGAGGAGGGGGGGGGGGGGGGCGACGCGCGGCCTCCCAGGGCGCCAGAACAGGCGGCAGAAGGGGCGACGCTCGCCCCCCCCCCCCCAGGTCGCCCCCAAGGGAGCCGCGACGGGCGACGGGAAAAGAGGGGGGGGGGCGGTGCACGGGCCCCCGGTGCGCCGCGACAGGCGACGTAGCATGGCCGGGGCGGGGCCGGGGCAGGGTCGAGGCAGGGCCGAAAGGGGCGGCGACGGGGCCGCAAGTGGCGGCGACGGGGCCGCTGGAGGCGGCGACGGGGCCGATAGGGGCGGCGACGGGGCCGCTAGGGGCGGCGACGGGGCCGCTGGTGGCGGCGATGGGGCCGATAGGGGCGGCGACGGGGCCGCTAGGGGCGGCGACGGGGCCGCGAAGGGGCCGCGAGGGGCCTGGAAGGGCGGCAACGGGGCCGCGAAGGGGCCTCGAGGGGCCGAGAAGGGCGGCGACGGGGCCGCTAGGGGTGGCGTCGGGGCCGCTAAGGGTCGCGAAGGGGCCGCGAGGGGCCTGGAAGGGCGGCAACGGGGCCGCGAAGGGGCCTCGAGGGGCCGAGAAGGGCGGCGACGAGGCCGCTAGGGGTGGCGACGGGGCCGCTAAGGGTCGCGCGAGGGGCCGTGAGAGGGGCCTCTAGGAGGGGAAGAAAAAAGTCCGTCGCACGCCACGGGGCGTGAAACACACAGAGTAGCAGCGGAAGCAGTTAGGTGGGCCCACAGGCCAGGAGCGTAGATGCTCTGATAGCATGTGAAGAAATGAGGGATGAAGAAGAGAGGGTTGCACTAGCAGCAGTTGGCATACATATAGGAAACCCTAATTGGGTTGTACTCGCTATAGAGTACCCCACTGCAGGCTAGACAATTATAACATTCTGACATATTTGTGGCGAATGTGTTTTTCTTTTGTACAGGGTATAGGCATTTCGACCGAGCTGGAAGATGGTTAGGCAGAACAAAACCGGTTATACCACGTTCGTCAGCTGAATGAATTGTGAGCGCGTAGCACAACGGTTATAGCTTTGGTAGGAGTGCTGAAGGCCTGGGTTAATACTTGAGAGGACACTCAGAGTAGGAAAAATAAGTCCCCTAATTGCCCAGAGTATATTTTTCAGAAGTTAAATTTTCTCTGACAAATCAGAGTAACGTTCATAATGAACCCTGAATTTCAGACTTCCCTAGAAAACAGCTCTGGAAATCCGAGTAGTGAAAAAAAAAAAGAAAAAAAAAGCCCTGATCACAACGTCACCACAAACACTGAGCACAAGCAAAAAGCCACAAGGCCAGTTCACATGCAGAGGTATATATGCAACAACAATAGCACAATGATCTCTACCTACCAAGAGTAAGCATGCAGGTATATAAACATAGATCACAGTACATGCAGAGCCTACAGCAAGTGAGGAAACGTAGGCACAAGGCCCAACAACGTACAAAAGCGCTGATAATCACCAAGCAGAAGTGCCTTGGTGAATATATCAGCAGTGTTGGCCTGAGTGGCCACGTGAGCAAGACGAAGCTGACCACGATGCTGCAACTCTCGAGCAAGGAAGTAACGCAGAGCGATGTGCTTCGTTCTGTGCTCCAGTCTGTGCTCCTGACACAAGGCAATGGAGGCCTTGTTGTCTACGTACAGCACTGGAGGAGAACGAGGTCGCTCTCCAAGGTCGGTCAGCAGGTAGGTGAGCCAGCGTAGCTCCTGTGCAGCCATGGCTGTGGCGTAGATCTCAGCCTCACAACTGGAGCCGAGAACTGAACACGAGCGTGTAGACCGCCAAGAAACAGAGCAAGAGCCAAGGCTAAAGGTGTAACCCTGTGACGACGGCTGTGTAGCCAGGTCGTCAACCCAAGAAGCGTCCGAGTGACCAGTGAGGACAACTGGGCTCCGTCCTCCAAGCACGAGCCCCATGCCCGATGTACTGCACAAGTAGCGTAGTACCCTCTTAGCAGCATCCATGTGCACCTTTCGGTGCCGACCAGTATCCACGTAGCGAGCCAGAAGGCCAAGAGGGTACGCAAGGTCAGGTCGAGTGCAGGTCATCAGGTACATGAGGCAGCCCACTAGCTCTGGGTAAGGACCACTCGGCTCTACGGACTCGTCCGAAGGTGGAGCTGAGAGCGAGTGACCTGTAGCCAAAGGAGTGGCCTGTGCCGAGGACCAGGTGAAGCCAAAGCGCTGAAGGACCTGCTGCACCATGTGTGACTGAGTTAGTGTGATGGTGCGGCGTGCTCTCTCCCGGGTGATCTGCAAGCCAAGGTAGCTGCGCAGCTCACCCAGGTCTGTGCACGTGTGTCTCTTCTGCAGCTCCGACTTCACCAGGGCGAGAGCCTCAGTGTCAGCAGTGGCAAAGACCAAGTCGTCGACGTACACGAGGATGTAGAACGGCGGCAGCGAAGTGTCGGTGCGTAGAAACAGCGACGGGTCAGCAGTCGACGGAGCAAACCCAAGAGCCGCAAGTGTAGTACTCAGTGTGTCGTGCCACTCACGCGGCACCTGGCGGAGTCAGTAGACTGGCCGCCTGAGGCTCCACTGGGTACCAGGAGGGAGCGACCCAGTAAAGCCTGGTGGGCAGCGCAGCTAGATCTCCTCGTGCAGGCTGCCCTATAAGAAGTGGGAGAATGGGGCGGGGTTATGGAAAGAGGGAGAACGGGGCGGGGTGATGGAAAGCGGGAGAATGGGGCGGGGTAAAGGAAAGCGGAAGAATCGGGCGGGGTGATGGAAAGCGAGAGAATCGGGCGGGGTGATGGAAAGCGGGAGAATGGGTCGGGATGTTGGAAAGCGGGAGAATGGGGCGGGGTGATGGAAAGCGGGAGAATGAGGCGGGGTGATGGAAAGCGGGAGAATGGAGTGATGGAAAGCGGGAGAATGGGGTGATGGAAAGCGGGAGAATGGGGCGGGGTGCTGGAAAGCGGGAGAATGGGGCGGGGTTATGGAATGAGGGAGAATGGGGCGGGGTGATGGAAAGCGGGAGAATAGGGCGAGGTGATGGAAAGCGGGAGAATGGTGCGGGTTGATGGAAAGCGGGAGAATGGGGCGGGGTGATGGAAAGCGGGAGAATGGGGCGGGGTTATGGAAAGAGGGAGAAGGGGGCGGGGTGATGGAAAGCGGGAGAATGGGGCGGGGTGATGGAAAGAGGGAGAATGGGGCGGGGTGATGGAAAGAGGGAGAATGAGGCGGGGTGATGGAATGAGGGAGAATTTGGCGGCGTGATGGAAAGCGGGAGAACAGGGCGGGGTGATGGAAAGAGGGAGAATGGGGCGGGGTGATGGAAAGAGGGAGAATGGGGCAGGGTGATGGAATGAGGGAGAATGGGGCGGGGTGATGGAAAGCGGGAGAATGGGGCGGGGTGATGGAAAGAGGGAGAATGGGGCGGGGTGATGGAAAGAGGGAGAATGGGGCGGGGTGATGGAAAGCGGGAGAATAGGGCGGGGTGATGGAAAGCGGGAGAATCGGGCGAGGTGATGGAAAGAGGGAGAATGGGGTGGGGTGATGGAAAGCAGGAGAATCGGACGGGGTGATGGAAAGAGGGAGAATGGGGCGGGTGATGGAAAATGGGAGAATCGGGCGGGGTGATGGAAAGAGGGAGAATGGGGCGAGGTGATGGAAAGAGGGAGAATGGAGCAAGTGATGGAAAGCGGGAGAATGGGGTAGGGTGATGGAAAGCGGGAGAATGGGGCGGGGTTACGGATAGAGGGAGAATGAGGCGCGGTGATGGAAAGAGGGAGAATGGGGCGGGGTGATGGAAAGAGGGAGAATGGGGCGGGGTGATGGAATGCAGGAGAATGGGGCGGGGTGATGAAAAGCGGGAGAATGGGAGGGTGATGGAAAGCGGGAGAATGTGGCGGGGTGATGGAAAGAGGGAGAATGGGGCGGGGTGATGGAAACCGGGAGAATGGGGCGGGGTGATGGAAAGCGGGAGAATGGGGCGGGGTGATAGAAAGCGGGAGAATCGGGCGGGGTGATGGAAAGCGGGAGAATGGGGCGGGGTGCTGGAAAGCGGGAGAATGGAGCGGGGTGATGGAAAGCGGGAGAATGGGGCGGAGTGATGGAAAGCGGGAGAATTGGGCGGGGTGATGGAAAGCGGGAGAATGGGGCGGGGTGATGGAAAGCGGGAGAATTGGGCGGGGTGATGGAAAGCGGGAGAATGGGGCAGGGTGATGGAAAGAGGGAGAATGGGGCAGGGTGATGGAAAGTGGGAGAATGGGGCGGGGTGATGGAAAGCGGGAGAATGGGGCGGGGTGATGGAAAGCGGTAGAAAGGGGCGGGGTAATGGAAAGCGGGAGAATGGGGCGGAGTGATGGAAAGCGGGAGAATCGGGCGGGAGAATGGGGCGGGGTGCTTGAAATCGGGAGAATGGGGCGGGGCGATGGAAAGTGGGAGAATCGGGCGGAGTGATGGAAAGCGGGAGAATGGGGCGGGGTGATGGAAAGCGGGAGAATGGGGCGGGGTGATGGAAAGTGGGAGAATGGGGCGGAGCGATGGAAAGCGGGAGAATGGGGCGGGGTGATGGAAAGCGGGAGAATCGGGCGGGAGAATGGGGCGGGGTGCTGGAAAGCAGGAGAATGGGGCGGGGCGATGGAAAGTGGGAGAATCGGGCGGAGTGATGGAAAGCGGGAGAATGGGGCGGGTTGATGGAAAGCGGGAGAATGGGGCGGGGTGATGGAAAGTGGGAGAATGGGGCGGAGCGATGGAAAGCGGGAGAATGGGGCGGGGTGATGGAAAGCGGGAGAATCGGGCGGGAGAATGGGGTGGGGTGCTGGAAAGTGGGAGAATGGGGCGGGGCGATGGAAAGTGGGAGAATCGGGTGGAGTGATGGAAAGCGGGAGAATGGGGCGGGGTGATGGAAAGTGGGAGAATGGGGCGGGGTTATGGAAAGAGGGAGAATGGGGCAGGGTGATGGAAAGTGGGAGAATGGGGCGGGGTGATGGAAAGCGGGAGAATGGGGCGGGGTGATGGAAAGCGGTAGAAAGGGGCGGGGTAATGGAAAGCGGGAGAATGGGGCGGAGTGATGGAAAGCGGGAGAATCGGGCGGGAGAATGGGGCGGGGTGCTTGAAATCGGGAGAATGGGGCGGGGCGATGGAAAGTGGGAGAATCGGGCGGAGTGATGGAAAGCGGGAGAATGGGGCGGGGTGATGGAAAGCGGGAGAATGGGGCGGGGTGATGGAAAGTGGGAGAATGGGGCGGAGCGATGGAAAGCGGGAGAATGGGGCGGGGTGATGGAAAGCGGGAGAATCGGGCGGGAGAATGGGGCGGGGTGCTGGAAAGCAGGAGAATGGGGCGGGGCGATGGAAAGTGGGAGAATCGGGCGGAGTGATGGAAAGCGGGAGAATGGGGCGGGTTGATGGAAAGCGGGAGAATGGGGCGGGGTGATGGAAAGTGGGAGAATGGGGCGGAGCGATGGAAAGCGGGAGAATGGGGCGGGGTGATGGAAAGCGGGAGAATCGGGCGGGAGAATGGGGCGGGGCGATGGAAAGTGGGAGAATCGGGTGGAGTGATGGAAAGCGGGAGAATGGGGCGGGGTGATGGAAAGTGGGAGAATGGGGCGGGGTTATGGAAAGAGGGAGAATGGGGCGGGGTGCTGGAAAGCGGGAGAATGGGGCGTGGTGATGGAAAGCGGGAGAATGGGGCGGGGTGATGGAAAGCGGGAGAATCGGGCGGGGTGATGGAAAGCGGGAGAATGGGGCGGGGTGCTGGAAAGCGGGAGAATGGGGCGTGGTGATGGAAAGCGGGAGAATGGGGCGGAGTGATGGAAAGCGGGAGAATTGGGCGGGGTGATGGAAAGCGGGAGAATGGGGCGGGGTGATGGAAAGAGGGAGAATGGGGCAGGGTGATGGAAAGTGGGAGAATGGGGTGGGGTGATGGAAAGCGGGAGAATGGGGCAGGGTGCTGGAAAGAGGGAGAATGGGGCAGGGTGATGGAAAGTGGGAGAATGGGGCGGGGTGATGGAATGCGGGAGAATAGGGCAGTGTGCTGGAAAGAGGGAGAATGGGGCGGGGTGATGGAAAGAGGGAGAATGGGGCGGGGTGATGGAAAGAGGGAGAATGGGGCGGGGTGATGGAAAGCGGGAGAATATGGCGGGGTGATGGAAAGCGGGAGAATGGGGCGAGTGACGGAAAGTGGGAGAATAGGGCAGGGTGATGGAAAGAGGGAGAATGGGGCGGGGTGATGGAAAGCGGGAGAATGGGGCGGAGCGATGGAAAGCGGGAGAATGGGGCGAGTGACGGAAAGCGGGAGAATAGGGCGGGGTGATGGAAAGAGGGAAAATGGGGCGGGGTGATGGAAAGCGGGAGAATCGGGCGGGAAAATGGAGCGGGGCGATGGAAAGCGGGAGAATCGGGTGGAGTGATGGAAAGCGGGAGAATGGGGCGGGGTGATGGAGAGCGGGAGAATGGGGCGGGGTTACGGATAGAGGGAGAATGAGGTGGGGTGATGGAAAGAGGGAGAATGGGGCGGGGTGATGGAAAGAGGGAGAATGGGGCGGGGTGATGGAAAGCGGGAGAATGGGGCGGGGTGATGGAAAGCAAGAGAATGGGGCGGGTGATGGAAAGCGGGAGAATGGGGCGGGGTGATGGAAAGCGGGAGAATGGGGCTGGGTGATAGAAAGCGGGAGAATGGGGCGTAGTGATGGAAAGCGGGAGAATCGGGCGGGGTGATGGAAAGCGGGAGAATGGGGCGGGGTGCTGGAAAGCGGGAGAATGGGGCGTGGTGATGGAAAGCGGGAGAATGGGGCGGAGTGATGGAAAGCGGGAGAATTGGGCGGGGTGATGGAAAGCGGGAGAATGGGGCAGGGTGATGGAAAGAGGGAGAATGGGGCAGGGTGATGGAAAGTGGGAGAATGGGGCGGGGTGATGGAAAGCGGGAGAATGGAGCAGGGTGCTGGAAAGAGGGAGAATGGGGCAGGGTGATGGAAAGTGGGAGAATGGGGCGGGGTGATGGAATGCGGGAGAATAGGGCAGGGTGCTGGAAAGAGGGAGAATGGGGCGGGGTGATGGAAAGAGGGAGAATGGGGCGGGGTGATGGAAAGAGGGAGAATGGGGCGGGGTGATGGAAAGCGGGAGAATATGGCGGGGTGATGGAAAGCGGGAGAATGGGGCGAGTGACGGAAAGTGGGAGAATAGGGCAGGGTGATGGAAAGAGGGAGAATGGGGCGGGGTGATGGAAAGCGGGAGAATGGGGCGGAGCGATGGAAAGCGGGAGAATGGGGCGAGTGACGGAAAGCGGGAGAATAGGGCGGGGTGATGGAAAGAGGGAAAATGGGGCGGGGTGATGGAAAGCGGGAGAATCGGGCGGGAGAATGGAGCGGGGCGATGGAAAGCGGGAGAATCGGGTGGAGTGATGGAAAGCGGGAGAATGGGGCGGGGTGATGGAGAGCGAGAGAATGGGGCGGGGTTACGGATAGAGGGAGAATGAGGTGGGGTGATGGAAAGAGGGAGAATGGGGCAGGGTGATGGAAAGAGGGAGAATGGGGCGGGGTGATGGAAAGCGGGAGAATGGGGCGGGGTGATGGAAAGCGAGAGAATGGGGCGGGTGATGGAAAGCGGGAGAATGGGGCGGGGTGATGGAAAGAGGGAGAATGGGGCGGGGTGATGGAAAGCGGGAGAATGGGGCGGAGCGATGGAAAGCGGGAGAATAGGGCAGGGTGATTGAAAGCGGGAGAATCGGGCGGGGTGCTGGAAAGCAGGAGAATGGGGCTGGGTGATGGAAAACAGGAGAATGGGGCGGAGTGATGGAAAGCGGGAGAATTGGGCGGGGTGATGGAAAGCGGGAGAATTGGGCGGGGTGATGGAAAGCGGGAGAATGGGGCGGGGTGATGGAAAGCGGGAGAATGGGGCGGGGTGCTGGAAAGAGGGAGAATGGGGCGGGGTGACGGAAAGGGGGAGAATGGGGCGGGTGATGGAAAGAGGGAGAATGGGGCGGGGTGATGGAAAGAGGGAGAATTGGGCGGGGTGATGGAAAGCGGGAGAATATGGCGGGGTGATGGAAAGCGGGAGAATGGGGCGGGTGATGGAAAGCGGGAGAATAGGGCGGGGTGATGGAAAGAGGGAGAATGGGGCGGGGTGATGGAAAGCGGGAGAATGGGGCGGAGCGATGGAAAGCGGGAGAATAGGGCTGGGTGATTGAAAGCGGGAGAATCGGGCAGGGTGCTGGAAAGAGGGAGAATGGGGCGGGGTGACGGCAAGGGGGAGAATGGGGCGGGGTGATGGAAAGAGGGAGAATAGGGCAGGGTGATGGAAAGAGGGAGAATTGGGCGGGGTGATGGAAAGCGGGAGAATATGGCGGGGTGATGGAAAGCGGGAGAATGGGGCGGGTGATGGAAAGCGGGAGAATAGGGCGGGGTGATGGAAAGAGGGAGAATGGGGCGGGGTGATGGAAAGCGGGAGAATGGGGCGGAGCGATGGAAAGCGGGAGAATAGGGCGGGGTGATTGAAAGCGGGAGAATTGGGCGGGGTGCTGGAAAGAGGGAGAATGGGGCGGGGTGACGGAAAGGGGGAGAATGGGGCGGGGTGATGGAAAGAGGGAGAATGGGGCGGGGTGATGGAAAGAGGGAGAATGGGGCGGGGTGACGGAAAGGGGGAGAATGGGGCGGGGTGATGGAAAGAGGGAGAATGGGGCGGGGTGATGGAAAGAGGGAGAATTGGGCGGGGTGATGGAAAGCGGGAGAATATGGCGGGGTGATGGAAAGCGGGAGAATGGGGCGGGTGATGGAAAGCGGGAGAATAGGGCGGGGTGATGGAAAGAGGGAGAATGGGGCGGGGTGATGGAAAGCGGGAGAATGGGGCGGAGCGATGGAAAGCGGGAGAATAGGGCGGGGTGATTGAAAGCGGGAGAATCGGGCGGGAGAATGGGGCGGGGTGCTGGAAAGCGGGAGAATGGGGCGGGGCGATGGAATGTCGGAGAATCGGGCGGAGTGATGGAAAGCGGGAGAATGGGGCGGGGTGATGGAAAGCGGGAGAATGGGGTGGGGTTATGGAAAGAGGGAGAATGGGGCGGGGTGCTGGAAAGCGGGAGAATGGGGCGTGGTGATGGAAAGCGGGAGAATGGGGCAGGGTGATGGAAAGCGGGAGAATCGGGCGGGGTGATGGAAAGCGGGAGAATGAGGCGGGGTGCTGGAAAGCGGGAGAATGGGGCGGGGTGATGGAAAGCGGGAGAATGGGGCGGAGTGATGGAAAGCGGGAGATTTGGGCGGGGTGATGGAATGCGGGAGAATCGGGCGCGGTGATGGAAAGCGGGAGAATGGGGCGGGGTGATGGAAAGAGGGAGAATGGGGCAGGGTGATGGAAAGTGGGAGAATGGGGCGGAGTGATGGAAAGCGGGAGAATGGGGCGGGGTGCTGGAAAGAGGGAGAATGGGGCGGGGTGATGGAAAGAGGGAGAATGTGGCGGGGTGATGGAAAGCGGGAGAATGGGGCGGAGCGATGGAAAGCGGGAGAATGGGGCGGGGCGATGGAAAGCGGGAGAATGGGGCGGGGTGATGGAAAGCGGGAGAATGGGGCGGAGTGATGGAAAGCAGGAGAATGGGGCGGGGTGATGGAAAGCGGGAGAATAGGGCGGGGTGATGGAAAGAGGGAGAATGGGGCGGGGTGATGGAAAGCGGGAGAATGGGGCGGAGCGATGGAAAGCGGGAGAATGGGGCGGGGCGATGGAAAGCGGGAGAATCGGGCGGAGTGATGGAAAGCGAGAGAATGGGGCGGGGTGATGGAAAGCGGGAGAATGGGGCGGGGTGATGGAAAGAGGGAGAATGGGGCAGGGTGATGGAAAGAGGGAGAATGGGGCGGGGTGATGGAAAGCGGGAGAATAGGGCGGGGTGATGGAAAGCGGGAGAATCGGGCGAGGTGATGGAAAGAGGGAGAATAGGGTGGGGTGATGGAAAGCAGGAGAATCGGACGGGGTGATGGAAAGAGGGAGAATGGGGCGGGTGATGGAAAATGGGAGAATCGGGCGGGGTGATGGAAAGAGGGAGAATGGGGCGGGGTGATGGAAAGAGGGAGAATGGAGCAAGTGATGGAAAGCGGGAGAATGGGGTAGGGTGATGGAAAGCGGGAGAATGGGGCGGGGTTACGGATAGAGGGAGAATGAGGCGCGGTGATGGAAAGAGGGAGAATGGGGCGGGGTGATGGAAAGAGGGAGAATGGGGCGGGGTGATGGAATGCAGGAGAATGGGGCGGGGTGATGAAAAGCGGGAGAATGGGAGGGTGATGGAAAGCTGGAGAATGTGGCGGGGTGATGGAAAGAGGGAGAATGGGGCGGGGTGATGGAAACCGGGAGAATGGGGCGGGGTGATGGAAAGCGGGAGAATGGGGCGGGGTGATAGAAAGCGGGAGAATCGGGCGGGGTGATGGAAAGCGGGAGAATGGGGCGGGGTGCTGGAAAGCGGGAGAATGGAGCGTGGTGATGGAAAGCGGGAGAATGGGGCGGAGTGATGGAAAGCGGGAGAATTGGGCGGGGTGATGGAAAGCGGGAGAATGGGGCTTGGTGATGGAAAGCGGGAGAATTGGGCGGGGTGATGGAAAGCGGGAGAATGGGGCAGGGTGATGGAAAGAGGGAGAATGGGGCAGGGTGATGGAAAGTGGGAGAATGGGGCGGGGTGATGGAAAGCGGGAGAATGGGGCGGGGTGATGGAAAGCGGTAGAAAGGGGCGGGGTAATGGAAAGCGGGAGAATGGGGCGGAGTGATGGAAAGCGGGAGAATCGGGCGGGAGAATGGGGCGGGGTGCTTGAAATCGGGAGAATGGGGCGGGGCGATGGAAAGTGGGAGAATGGGGCGGAGTGATGGAAAGCGGGAGAATGGGGCGGGGTGATGGAAAGCGGGAGAATGGGGCGGGGTGATGGAAAGTGGGAGAATGGGGCGGAGCGATGGAAAGCGGGAGAATGGGGCGGGGTGATGGAAAGCGGGAGAATCGGGCGGGAGAATGGGGCGGGGTGCTGGAAAGCAGGAGAATGGGGCGGGGCGATGGAAAGTGGGAGAATCGGGCGGAGTGATGGAAAGCGGGAGAATGGGGCGGGTTGATGGAAAGCGGGAGAATGGGGCGGGGTGATGGAAAGTGGGAGAATGGGGCGGAGCGATGGAAAGCGGGAGAATGGGGTGGGGTGATGGAAAGCGGGAGAATCGGGCGGGAGAATGGGGTGGGGTGCTGGAAAGTGGGAGAATGGGGCGGGGCGATGGAAAGTGGGAGAATCGGGTGGAGTGATGGAAAGCGGGAGAATGGGGCGGGGTGATGGAAAGTGGGAGAATGGGGCGGGGTTATGGAAAGAGGGAGAATGGGGCAGGGTGATGGAAAGTGGGAGAATGGGGCGGGGTGATGGAAAGCGGGAGAATGGGGCGGGGTGATGGAAAGCGGTAGAAAGGGGCGGGGTAATGGAAAGCGGGAGAATGGGGCGGAGTGATGGAAAGCAGGAGAATCGGGCGGGAGAATGGGGCGGGGTGCTTGAAATCGGGAGAATGGGGCGGGGCGATGGAAAGTGGGAGAATCGGGCGGAGTGATGGAAAGCGGGAGAATGGGGCGGGGTGATGGAAAGCGGGAGAATGGGGCGGGGTGATGGAAAGTGGGAGAATGGGGCGGAGCGATGGAAAGTGGGAGAATGGGGCGGGGTGATGGAAAGCGGGAGAATCGGGCGGGAGAATGGGGCGGGGTGCTGGAAAGCAGGAGAATGGGGCGGGGTGATGGAAAGTGGGAGAATGGGGCGGAGCGATGGAAAGCGGGAGAATGGGGCGGGGTGATGGAAAGCGGGAGAATCGGGCGGGATAATGGGGCGGGGCGATGGAAAGTGGGAGAATCGGGTGGAGTGATGGAAAGCGGGAGAATGGGGCGGGGTGATGGAAAGTGGGAGAATGGGGCGGGGTTATGGAAAGAGGGAGAATGGGGCGGGGTGCTGGAAAGCGGGAGAATGGGGCGGGGTGATGGAAAGCGGGAGAATGGGGCGGGGTGATGGAAAGAGGGAGAATGGGGCGGGGTGATGGAAAGAGGGAGAATGGGGCGGGGTGATGGAAAGCGGGAGAATATGGCGGGGTGATGGAAAGCGGGAGAATGGGGCGAGTGACGGAAAGTGGGAGAATAGGGCAGGGTGATGGAAAGAGGGAGAATGGGGCGGGGTGATGGAAAGCGGGAGAATGGGGCGGAGCGATGGAGAGCGGGAGAATGGGGCGAGTGACGGAAAGCGGGAGAATAGGGCGGGGTGATGGAAAGAGGGAAAATGGGGCGGGGTGATGGAAAGCGGGAGAATCGGGCGGGAGAATGGAGCGGGGCGATGGAAAGCGGGAGAATCGGGTGGAGTGATGGAAAGCGGGAGAATGGGGCGGGGTGATGGAGAGCGGGAGAATGGGGCGGGGTTACGGATAGAGGGAGAATGAGGTGGGGTGATGGAAAGAGGGAGAATGGGGCGGGGTGATGGAAAGAGGGAGAATGGGGCGGGGTGATGGAAAGCGGGAGAATGGGGCGGGGTGATGGAAAGCGGGAGAATGGGGCGGGTGATGGAAAGCGGGAGAATGGGGCGGGGTGATGGAAAGAGGGAGAATGGGGCGGGGTGATGGAAAGCGGGAGAATGGGGCTGGGTGATAGAAAGCGGGAGAATGGGGCGTAGTGATGGAAAGCGGGAGAATCGGGCGGGGTGATGGAAAGCGGGAGAATGGGGCGGGGTGCTGGAAAGCGGGAGAATGGGGCGTGGTGATGGAAAGCGGGAGAATGGGGCGGAGTGATGGAAAGCGGGAGAATTGGGCGGGGTGATGGAAAGCGGGAGAATGGGGCGGGGTGATGGAAAGAGGGAGAATGGGGCAGGGTGATGGAAAGTGGGAGAATGGGGCGGGGTGATGGAAAGCGGGAGAATGGGGCAGGGTGCTGGAAAGAGGGAGAATGGGGCAGGGTGATGGAAAGTGGGAGAATGGGGCGGGGTGATGGAATGCGGGAGAATAGGGCAGGGTGCTGGAAAGAGGGAGAATGGGGCGGGGTGATGGAAAGAGGGAGAATGGGGCGGGGTGATGGAAAGAGGGAGAATGGGGCGGGGTGATGGAAAGCGGGAGAATATGGCGGGGTGATGGAAAGCGGGAGAATGGGGCGAGTGACGGAAAGTGGGAGAATAGGGCAGGGTGATGGAAAGAGGGAGAATGGGGCGGGGTGATGGAAAGCGGGAGAATGGGGCGGAGCGATGGAAAGCGGGAGAATGGGGCGAGTGACGGAAAGCGGGAGAATAGGGCGGGGTGATGGAAAGAGGGAAAATGGGGCGGGGTGATGGAAGGCGGGAGAATCGGGCGGGAGAATGGAGCGGGGCGATGGAAAGCGGGAGAATCGGGTGGAGTGATGGAAAGCGGGAGAATGGGGCGGGGTGATGGAGAGCGAGAGAATGGGGCGGGGTTACGGATAGAGGGAGAATGAGGTGGGGTGATGGAAAGAGGGAGAATGGGGCGGGGTGATGGAAAGAGGGAGAATGGGGCGGGGTGATGGAAAGCGGGAGAATGGGGCGGGGTGATGGAAAGCGGGAGAATGGGGCGGGTGATGGAAAGCGGGAGAATGGGGCGGGGTGATGGAAAGAGGGAGAATGGGGCGGGGTGATGGAAAGCGGGAGAATGGGGCGGAGCGATGGAAAGCGGGAGAATAGGGCAGGGTGATTGAAAGCGGGAGAATCGGGCGGGGTGCTGGAAAGCAGGAGAATGGGGCTGGGTGATGGAAAACAGGAGAATGGGGCGGAGTGATGGAAAGCGGGAGAATTGGGCGGGGTGATGGAAAGCGGGAGAATTGGGCGGGGTGATGGAAAGCGGGAGAATGGGGCGGGGTGATGGAAAGCGGGAGAATGGGGCGGGGTGCTGGAAAGAGGGAGAATGGGGCGGGGTGACGGAAAGGGGGAGAATGGGGCGGGTGATGGAAAGAGGGAGAATGGGGCGGGGTGATGGAAAGAGGGAGAATTGGGCGGGGTGATGGAAAGCGGGAGAATATGGCGGGGTGATGGAAAGCGGGAGAATGGGGCGGGTGATGGAAAGCGGGAGAATAGGGCGGGGTGATGGAAAGAGGGAGAATGGGGCGGGGTGATGGAAAGCGGGAGAATGGGGCGGAGCGATGGAAAGCGGGAGAATAGGGCTGGGTGATTGAAAGCGGGAGAATCGGGCAGGGTGCTGGAAAGAGGGAGAATGGGGCGGGGTGACGGGAAGGGGGAGAATGGGGCGGGGTGATGGAAAGAGGGAGAATAGGGCAGGGTGATGGAAAGAGGGAGAATTGGGCGGGGTGATGGAAAGCGGGAGAATATGGCGGGGTGATGGAAAGCGGGAGAATGGGGCGGGTGATGGAAAGCGGGAGAATAGGGCGGGGTGATGGAAAGAGGGAGAATGGGGCGGGGTGATGGAAAGCGGGAGAATGGGGCGGAGCGATGGAAAGCGGGAGAATAGGGCGGGGTGATTGAAAGCGGGAGAATCGGGCGGGGTGCTGGAAAGAGGGAGAATGGGGCGGGGTGACGGAAAGGGGGGGAATGGGGCGGGGTGATGGAAAGAGGGAGAATGGGGCGGGGTGATGGAAAGAGGGAGAATTGGGCGGGGTGATGGAAAGCGGAAGAATATGGCGGGGTGATGGAAAGCGGGAGAATGGGGCGGGTGATGGAAAGCGGGAGAATAGTGCGGGGTGATGGAAAGAGGGAGAATGGGGCGGGGTGATGGAAAGCGGGAGAATGGGGCGGAGCGATGGAAAGCGGGAGAATAGGGCGGGGTGATTGAAAGCGGGAGAATCGGGCGGGAGAATGGGGCGGGGTGCTGGAAAGCAGGAGAATGGGGCGGGGCGATGGAATGTCGGAGAATCGGGCGGAGTGATGGAAAGCGGGAGAATGGGGCGGGGTGATGGAAAGCGGGAGAATGGGGTGGGGTTATGGAAAGAGGGAGAATGGGGCGGGGTGCTGGAAAGCGGGAGAATGGGGCGTGGTGATGGAAAGCGGGAGAATGGGGCAGGGTGATGGAAAGCGGGAGAATCGGGCGGGGTGATGGAAAGCGGGAGAATGAGGCGGGGTGCTGGAAAGCGGGAGAATGGGGCGGGGTGATGGAAAGCGGGAGAATGGGGCGGAGTGATGGAAAGCGGGAGATTTGGGCGGGGTGATGGAATGCGGGAGAATCGGGCGCGGTGATGGAAAGCGGGAGAATGGGGCGGGGTGATGGAAAGAGGGAGAATGGGGCAGGGTGATGGAAAGTGGGAGAATGGGGCGGAGTGATGGAAAGCGGGAGAATGGGGCGGGGTGATGGAAAGAGGGAGAATGTGGCGGGGTGATGGAAAGCGGGAGAATGGGGCGGAGCGATGGAAAGCGGGAGAATGGGGCGGGGCGATGGAAAGCGGGAGAATGGGGCGGGGTGATGGAAAGCGGGAGAATGGGGCGGAGTGATGGAAAGCGGGAGAATGGGGCGGGGTGATGGAAAGCGGGAGAATAGGGCGGGGTGATGGAAAGAGGGAGAATGGGGCGGGGTGATGGAAAGCGGGAGAATGGGGCGGAGCGATGGAAAGCGGGAGAATGGGGCGGGGCGATGGAAAGCGGGAGAATCGGGCGGAGTGATGGAAAGCGAGAGAATGGGGCGGGGTGATGGAAAGCGGGAGAATGGGGCGGGGTTATGGAAAGAGGGAGAATGGGGCGGGGTGCTGGAAAGCGGGAGAATGGGGCGGGGTGATGGAAAGAGGGAGAATGGGGGCGGGGTGATGGAAAGCGGGAGAATGGGGCGGGGTGATGGAAAGAGGGAGAATGGGGCGGGGTGATGGAAAGTGGGAGAATTGGGCGGGGTGATGGAAAGCAGGAGAATGGGGCGGGGTGCTGGAAAGCGGGAGAATGGGGCGGGGTGATGGAAAGCGGGAGAATCGAGCGGGGTGCTGGAAAGTGGGAGAATGGTGATGGAAAGCGGGAGAATGGGGCAGGGTGATGGAAAGCGGAAGAATGGGGCGGGGTGATGGAAAGCGGGAGAATGGGGCGGGTGATGGAAAGAGGGAGAATGGGGCGGGGTGATGGAAAGATGGAGAATGGGGCGGGGTGATGGAAAGCGGGAGAATGGGGCGGGGTGATGGAAAGCGGGAGTATGGGGCGGGTGATGGAAAAAGGGAGAATGGGGCGGGGTGATGGAAAGCGGGAGTATGGGGCGGGTGATGGAAAAAGGGAGAATGGGGCGGGTGATGGAAAGAGGGAGAATGGGGCGGAGTGATGGAAAGCGGGAGAATGGGGCGGGGTGATGGAAAGAGGGAGAATGGGGTGGGGTGATGGTGAGAGGGAGAATGGGGCGGGTGATGGAAAGCGGGAGAATGGGGCCGGGTGATGGAAAGCGGGAAAATTGGGCGGGTGATGGAAAGCGGGAGAATGGGGCGGGGTGATGGAAAGAGGGAGAATGGGGCGGGGTGATGGAAAGCGGGAGAATCAGCCGGGGTGATGTAAAACGGGAGAATGGGGCGGGGTCATGGAAAGCGGGAGAGTCGGGCGGGGTGATGGAAAGCGGGAGAATGGGGCGGGGTGCTGGAAAGCGGGAGATTGGGGCGGGGTGATGGAAAGCGGGAGAATGGGGCGGTGTGTAGGTACAAGGCGGAGCTGGAACTCTGAAATCTCCCAAACTATGTGGATCGAAAAGGTTATAACCAAGTGTTGTTGAAGTACAAGGCCTAATCTAGTGAACTGACATAAATATAGTACTAACTGCATTTTAGAAACATAAGTAATGCGCTGGTCAGTTTGGTCGGTATGCGCGCCTGTAGTGCAGGTACCATGTACGACTGGAATGTCTATATCTGTTAAATTACATAGATCCGATAGGTTAAACATGGTAGGGGGGTGGGGAATGGTATAATTTAAAGTAAATGGGAATACATATGGTATTTGCTGTATTTGTACAAAAATAATGCGTCGGCCGGTAAGGCCAGTATGCACGCTTGTGTGTAGGTACAAGGCGGAGCTGGAACTCTGAAATCTCCCAAACTATGTTGATCGGAAAGGTTATAACCTAGTGTTGTTGAAGTAGAAGGTCTAATCTAGTGGACTGGCAAGAATACGGCACTAACTGCATCTCTACAAACATACATAATGCGCTGGTCAGTTTGGTCGGTATGCGCGCCTGTAGTGCAGGTACCATGTATGACTGAAATGTCTTTATCTGCGAAAATACATAGATCTTATAGGTTAAAACATGGTAGGGGGGTGGGAAATGGTGTCTTTTAAAGGAAATGGGAATACATACGGTATTCTCTATATTTGTACGGAGAGAAACATGCGTCGGCCGGTAAGGTCAGTATGCACGCTTGTGTGTAGGTACAAGGCGGAACTGGAACTCTGAAATCTCCTAAATTATGTGGATCGGAAAGGTTATAACCTAGTCTTGTTGAAGTAGAAGGCCTAATCTAGTGGACTGGCAAGAATATGGTAGTAACTGCATATCTACAAACATGAGTAATGCGCTGGTCAGTTTGGTTGCTATGCGCGCTTGTAGTGCAGGTACCCTGTACGACTGGAATGTCTATATCTGACAAATTACATAGATCTGATAGGTTAAAACATGGTAGGGGGGTGGGGAATGGTATAATTTAAAGTAAATGGGAATACATATGGTATTTTCTGTATTTGTACTGAAAGAATAATGCGTCCGCCGGTAAGGCCAGTATGCACGCTTGTGTGTATGTACAAGGCGGAGTTAGAACTCTGAAATCTCCCAAACTATGTGGATCGGAAAGGTTATAACCTAGTGTTGTTGAAGTAGAAGGCCTAATCTAGTGGACTGGCAAGAATATGGCACTAACTGCATCTCTACAAACATGCGTAATGCGCTGGTCAGTTTGGTCGATATGCGCGCCTGTAGTGCAGGTACCATGTACGACTGAAATGTCTTTATCTGCCAAATTACATAGATCCGTTAGGTTAAAACATGGTAGGGGGGTGGGGAATGGTATCGTTTAAAGGAAATGGGAATGCATATGGTATTCGCTGTATTTGTACGGAGAGAATAATGCGTCGGCTGGTAAGATCGGTATGCACGCTTGTGTGTAGGTACAAGGTGGAACTGGAACTCTGAAATCCCCCAAATTGTGTGGATCGGAAAGGTTATAACCTAGTGTTGTTGAATTAGAAGGCTTAATCTAGTGGACTGGCAAGAGTATGGTAGTAACTGCATCTCTACAAACATACGTAATGCGCTGGTCAGTTTGGTCGGTATGCGCGCCTGTAGTGCAGGTACAATGTACGACTGAAATGTCTTTATCTGCCAAATTACATAGATCCGTTAGGTTAAAACTTGGTAGGGGGGTGGAGAATGGTATCATTTAAAGGAAATGGGAAGCATATGGTATTCACTATATTTGTACGGAGAGAATAATGCGTCGGCTGGTAAGTGTCAAACATTATATATGTTATTGCTGTGTAGGCTACAGTGGGTTAGCCTTTAGGGGGTACAATACTCTAGGGTTTCATACTTGTACCACCAATGTTCCTAGTTCAATCACTTCTTGTTTCTGACATGGTATTAAGAGCTTAGGTTCTCGACCTAAGGGCCCACCGTTCCGCTAGAGGTGCCCTCGTGCGCCCCCTTTTTTTTAGCGCCCTCGTGCACCTCTCTCCTAGTGCGCCCTCGTGTGCTCTTCTCTCACGCTGCTCGTTTGCAGCCCGCTAGCAGCCCAAGCGCGGCCCCCGTGTTTTTAGCGCGCGTAGGAAATTCGCCGCCTAGGGCGGCCCGGTTTTTTCTCGCGAGCCCCAGCAGGCCGTCGCTCGTAGGCCCCGCTAGCCCCTAGGCCGACGCTCGACCCACCGCCGCCGGCCCGCAGGTCGCAGCCTGCACGCAGCGGCGATCGCGCATCGGCTGCTGCAGCTAGCGCTTAGCCGCCGCACGAACGCAGCCGCGGCCCGCGCGCAGCCGCACCCTAGGCGCCGCCGCGCACCGAGCATAGGCCCGCCGTCGCGCCGCCCTACCTGCCCGAGCCGCGCCGCCCGAGTCGCGCCGCCCGAGTCACGCCGCCCTGACCGAGCCGCGCCGCCCCTACTGCTGCTACTGCTACTGCTACTACTGCTACTGCTTCTGTTACTCCTGCTACTGCTACTACTGCTACTGCTACTGCCACTATGGCTAGTCCTACCGTTTTCACGTTTGACTCTGAGGGCCGTCCGATTAAGTTTGACGTTTGGATCGATGACTTACACCTATTCCTCCAGATCACTGCCAAGGACGATGTTTCCCTGTTTGACCACACGTCTGGCGCCGCTCCCGCACCTGCTGCTACTGCTGTCAGCACTGCTTGCTCACAGTGGCAGACCCGTGACGCTCATGCTCGCCTAGCCGTTCGCAGTCACCTACCGTTAGATGAGCGCGAGCACTTTGGCCAGCATAAGACCGCTAAGGAGCTGTACGACGCTGTAGTTGCACGCTACTCCTCCCCTGCTACTGCTGCGATAGGCCGTCTCTCACTGCCCTATCTCTTCCCCGATCTGTCTGTTTTTGCCACTGTAGCTGACCTCATCACGCACCTCCGTACTAGTCATCTTCGCTCCTGTGCCGCGCTTCCCCCTGATTTCCTAGCCAAGAACCCTCCCCCGATGTACCTCACACTCTATCACCTAGTCACCCGCCTCCCTGACTCCCTTCGCACTGTCAGGGACCACTTTCTCGCCCTCTCCCCTACCGACCTCACTGTCAACCTGCTCGAGAAGGAACTCCTAGCAGCTGAGAAGAGCATTGTAGCTGTAGGTGCCTCTCGTGGCGACCCTCGCACTCCCTTCTTTGAGGGGTGCTCCCCCTCCCCCCTCCTCCCCTCCATTGCATCTGCTGCTGCTATCGACTACCTCGGTGCTGACGGGGTCGGGGCTACGTCTGCTCCCAGTGGGAGGCGCAAGGGCGGCAGGGGCAAGGGGGGCAGGGGTGGCGGAGGTGGCGGCGGGGGCGGCGGCAGTGGAGGGGGTGGAGGGGGCGGGGGTGGTGGCGGTGGTGGGAGTGGCGCTGGTGGTGGGGGGGTCAGTGGTGGAGTAGGGAGTGGAGGAGGCGGAGGTGGCGGGGGTGGTGGTGGCAGTGGTGGCGGCGATGGAGCTGGTGGCGGGCGCGGCGGAGCAGTGCAGCGTGGGGGGTTCGGCGGTGGCCAGAGGAAGCAGCAGCAGCGTCCCGGCAAGACTCCTTCGCCCCAGCAGCTCCGTGAGTGGTACTCTCAGCGTGGGGGGTCTGGGGGTGGAGGTACCTGCCCGTACGTCATCCGCATAGGTGACCGCACTGGCCAGACCTGTGGGAGGTTCCACACGGCGCAGCGCTGCTTCTTTCGTCTCGACGACGCCTGGCGCGAGCAGTTTCCTAACGCCGCTGAGTTACCCCGCTGGGCTAATCTGCTTAAGAAGGGAATTGATATATTTGCTCTTGATTATGATGCTATCCTTGGTGCTATGTATGTGAAAGAACGAGGAATGAATGAACTAGCAAGCAGGTGGGTACAAGTAGGAAAACCTAAAAGTGTTGTACCCCATATTGTCTACCTCACTACAGCCTACACAGACTATAGCATATGAGTTTGACACACCCCCATAGGCAAAGTGGGGGAGAACAAGAGGTCACAAGACCAGTCAAGCAAAGCAAAGCAAGCTCAGGGTGGATCACAACGTCACCACACAGTCCGAGCACAAGAGCAAGGCCACAAGGCCAGTTCACATGCAAGATCATATATAAAGGTAAACAAGCAAGTGCAGGTATAGAAAGATCACAGTACAAGCAAGGTCAAGAAGTGAGCAAGTGAGGCCAAGTAGGCACAAGACCTAGCATCGTACAGAAGCGCTGATGATCACAAGGCGGAAGTGCCTTGGTAAAGATATCAGCAGTGTTGGCCTCAGAGGCCACGTAAGCAAGGCGCAGCTGACCACGCTGCTGCAGCTCACGAGCAAGGAAGTAGCGAAGAGCAATGTGCTTCGTTCTGTGCTCCAGTCTGTGCTCCCGACACAAGGCCAGCATGGCCTTGTTGTCTACGTACAGAACTGGAGGAGAACGAGGCGGCTCTCCTAGGTCAGTCAGCAGGTAGGTGAGCCAGCGTAGCTCCTGTGCAGCCATGGCCCCTGCGTAGATCTCAGCCTCACAGCTGGAGCCGAGAACAGAAGACGAGCGGGTAGACCGCCACGAAACAGAGCCGGAACCAAGGCTGAAGGTGTAACCCTGTGACGACCGCTGCGTAGCCTGGTCGTCAGCCCAAGAAGCGTTTGCGTGACCTGTGAGGACCACTGGACGTCGCCCTCCAAGCACTAGCCCCATGCCCGACGTACTGCACAAGTAGCGCAACACCCTCTTCGCTGCAGCCATGTGCTCTGGTCGGTGTCTCCCAGGAGCAACATAGAGTGCCAATATGCTAAGAGGGTATGCTAGGTCAGGTCGTGTGCAGGTCATCAGGTACATGAGGCAGCCAACAAGCTCTGGGTACGGGCCACTCGGCTCTACGGACTCATCCGAAGGCAGAGCTGAGAGCGAGTGGCGAGTAGACAGAGGAGTGGCCTGAGGCGAGGAGTACGTGAAGTCGAAGTGCTGAAGGACCTGCTGCACCATGTGTGACTGAGTCAGGGTAATGGTGCGCTGTGCTCTGTCCCGGGTGATCTGCAAGCCAAGGTAGCTGCGCAGTTCACCCAGATCTGTGCACGTGTGTCTCTTCTGCAGCTCGGACTTCACGTGGGCAAGTCCAGCAGTGTCAGCAGTGGCAAAGACCAAGTCGTCGACGTACACGAGGATGTAGAACGGCGACAAAGATGTGTCGGTGCGCAGAAACAGCGACGGGTCGGCAGTAGACGGAGCAAACCCAAGAGCCGCAAGTGTAGTCCTCAGTGTG